GTGTTTTTCAAGCCACCAAGGCCGGGCTTCAAACCACTGTCAGCTGTGTGGAATCCAGCCTTAACCACAGCCCCTAACTGTTACGCTGCTGGGCCAGCCCCAGACAACAAATTAATCTATTATCGTATTTGGAAAAAAAAATTAGCATAGCAATCAATTATATTACCATAGATTTGCCTAATTAAAAACACAAATGTGTGGTTCTGTGCTTCTCCCCTTCCAGAGTTGGAAAATCATTAGCCATAGAACAGTCAAATATTTAGCAGTACAAAAATATTGCTCGTTAAAAATCTTCCTCTTACCTCACATTTTAATGAGGTTCTCAACCTCTTCTCTTTTTTTTCTGAAGTAAAATATCACTGAAATAGAAATTAAAGGAATTTAAAATAATAAAGACCCTAAATCAAAATCATGACATTAGACAATAGTTTCTCAAGCATTTTAAGCACTCCAGAGCACTTAAGAGCTGAAAATAAGATTGCAGTTTGGCCAAGATTTTTCTAAAAGCTTACAGTAGCACGTAATAGACTTTCAGAGAATTAGGGAGACTCAAAATAAGAAATAGTTGCTACATTGATTTTTTTTCTTAAGAGAGATTTTTCTATAGGGCACGTGCACTCACCAGAGAGACAAAAAGTGAGAAATCACCCCCCAAGGGGGATGACCACACTGCAATCCCTTCTCCATTCTCCTCTCAGGATTTTGGGCACACACACACACATGCCCAGCATGAGTTGTATGTCACCGGGTCTGGGACTGGAACCATGGTCAACTACATGGGAGTCCAGCAACATAACCATTACACCATCCCCTGGTCCTGCTACACTGATTTTTTTAAAGTGTTTAAATATACCTGCTTCACCACAACCTCACTAAGTTTCTGTTTTTATCTTTTTTATTATTTTAATTTTGACCTTTCATGACCAGTTTGAACATTTTCCAATTGTGATTATTTCCGACATGGAATATCTCTCATGTGAATCACCTATAAACATCCTTAAAGAGTTTAAGGAAAGCATTCCATAATTACTAATAAAGACAAAGTGCTCTAAAAGGTAGGATTTCCTCAGTGAAGAGGGTGCACAATAGTTTACACCTTCTTGATGAGTTTTCAACCTGTACCATTTGGTTTCTGAATGGGGAAACCACCTAATTAGACAAGGATCTCACAGCTATCCCAGTATATGCAGTGATACCCACGTGGCAGATGGCAACTGGATCTCACTCCATAGCACCTACCGGGTTCCACAGCCAGGGCTTCTGGGGGTAGGGCTGGGCGGGAGGAAGCAGAGCAGAAATGGAAAACTGCCTAAAATGCAACAGAGCTCAATAAGCAAATTAGCCATGAATAAATTCTTAGCAATTTCTGGACTAATTATCTACCTACAAGAGAAGGTGTTATTTAAACATTCTTATCCACGTTCCAACTCCTGTGTGCTATAACCTTTGATTTTCTTTTCTCTTTCATGAATATTCAGGTAAATAATATACAGTATAATCAACTCACCTAACGTCACCGGAAAGATCTTCCTGTGCTACCAAGCTGTATAGACTTCCTAACTTTTGGAGCTTGGATCTAAATGTATTAGACAATGGAATCTGTTTATAATTTGCCACCATCTTAATCTGCTCTAGGAATATTTTGAAAGATATATATTCCGTCTTCTGAGAGCACAGTGCATATTTAGATATCTCAGAGTTTAGGTTATTTTTATTCCAGGGATTAAAATATAAATGTGAAGTATAAACTTAGCCTATGTATGTATCACAATAAACCTAGGTTCAGAATTGTGGTTGATGAGTTAGGGGACTACCACATCTAAATCTGAAATGCTCACTGATGTGAAGCCATTCACACTTGACCTCCCAGTATGGCTGCATGACTTACCACATTAAAGGGACACGTTCACTTTCTTAGTGCTTCAAAAATAATAAAATTGTACATTGAATTTAGAATTCAGAAGATATGGGTAAAACTCACAAATCCAGGACTGCCCCTGTAGCACAGCGGCTAACTGCAGTGCAGAGAAAGCTGCATCCCACATGGCCAGCCAAGGTTTGAATCCCAGACTGCCAGCCTGAAAACCATGCCAGGCATGTGCATGCATACCCGAGAGCCTGATGGGATGGACAGACGTACAGGCCTCGTTGGGGTGTTTCTCATGTTCCCTCTGGTATAACAAAAAATAGTTTACGGAAAGACTCTGTCTTTCTTCTTTGCTTTCCCTTTGAATGTTTTCTTCCATGTTCCATAATATGCAACCTTCAGGGGCAAAAATTGCCCTCTTTCTTTCAAGAAAGGTTTCTACTTTGCCTACTGTGTGACATGGGAGGTTGAAAGGGTGCTACAATTACCCATGACTACATTTTAAAAACACCCCAAAACTTGTGAGTTTAAAATGCAAACATTTCTATTATTTATTCATAATTCTGCAACTTGGGCAAAGTATGTTGGGGGCAGCTTGTTCCTTCTCCATGTATTTTGGGGATGGCTCATGTCCGCTCCAATGACGCCAGCTTGAGACAGCCAACTGAGACTTAAGAATTCACTTCCCAGAGTTCATGCAAATCAGTGTTGGCTGCTGGCTGGAAAGCTTGGTTCTCCTCCCTGTGGCCCTCCACGTGACTAGACTGGCCTTCACAGTACGGCAGTCAGAGTAGCATGGCCTTCATTCATAGCCGCTGACTTTCCCAAGCACAAAGTGGAAGCTTCCGGGTCGTCTTAAGGTATAGTCGCAAGCATACATGAGGTGGCTTGTACCACATTCTCCTCATTAAATCATACCATGGGGCCCCGTCCAGACTTAAGGAGACCCCATCCACAAGGCGTGAATCTCACCACCATGGCTCTCTGGGCACCAGAACAGCAGGCCGCCCCTGTGAATAATGGGCTTTGTGACCATGGTCTGGTGAGGACAGCGGGGAATCACGCAGTGCCATGAAGGAAACGGGCTGAAAACAGACCTGTGTATCCCCAGTCATCCCTGGAATGTTAGAAAATGCTCAAGGAAGCAAAGCTGCATTTCCTCCTAAGTGTACTCACTATACGGTTTGCACATTTTCTGGAGTTGGGGGAAAATTAAAAGTTTAGATTTACAGTTAAGAAATCTCAAACTTCTTTCCATTCAACTTTTCGTATACCCTGAATGAAAATGGTGATAATCAATAGCAAACAGTGCTGTAAAGGGTTAAGTTGTCTAACATTCACAACAAAGAAGCTATGCTATGACGGAGTCAGGCTATTTGCTGTGACCTTTCTAATGTGGCAGTTCCTTAGGTACTGCAGTAAAATACTCTCACCCTACACCTACATGTTTATGGTTTGTAGTATTCTCAACAGGACAGATCCCAAATTGTCAAATTACTTGAATTGATTTCTGGTAATTAGCTTTGTTAGAATATTTTAAATGCAGTCAGTTAATTTGATCTGTTCAGCAAAGTACAATAAGGTTTTTAGCATTACGGAATTTCTTTTTAGAATATTAGCAATAACTAAATTTAAGGACATGGTGGACTCACATTACTCTCATTCAAATTTTGTATTCAGTGAATGAACATGCAATTTTGGGGATTAGGCAGTATTTAGAAAACATAAGTATCAGGGTTATTTAGGATGGAATTGCTGAAGATGCTGGACTATTTTACACACACTTACTGATTGATTTTACTTGCACGAAATATGAAGCAATGACAACTATATAAATTGCTCAAGGACTGGTCATCCATATTGGGATTTGTTTAAAGATCATTGCAGAAATCTGTCTGCAAGGTATTTATATTTATTTTTTTTCCAAGTCTATATACAAAAAGATCTAGATCCATAGAGAAGGGATTAACACCAATTCTTTTGAATTGAAATTAAACATTTTAAAACATGCAGGTGATAATTGGGTGATATTTCCTTGTTAAAGCTCTCTTTGGTGGTTTATTTATCTTAAACATCATTTTTGTCTTTTGGGGTCGTCACGCAGTGACTCTCAGTGGTTTATTAAAAACCTCAGTTGCTCGAGAGTGCTTTAGGCTGCCTTGACATGAGCACATGGCCACATCCTCGTATTCTGAGTAGGGCTTCCAGTGTGAGGGTTTCAGACCACTGCCGATGCGTTTCTAAGCGTCCTGTGTCAGAAAAGTCCAGCTACTTACACAACTGCTCCAACCAGAACGGGGCAGAGCCAGACACAAAATGAAAGAGACCAATTTAGGCCAAGTGGAAAGGATCAGTTTCTCCTAAAATGGGCCTTTCATTCTAGAGCTACCTTATCCAACCCCAAAAGCAGATAGAATAACCAACACTTACATAGTTGTGATCTCTTTGTACCTGGAGACAAGGACCACTTTTTAAAGATTTCCATGTTTTAATGCAACTGGAGCATCGTGTTTGAAGGGGAGGTATTTTGGTGTTTGCACGTAGGGAGTTAGAGATCCCAAGTATCGACTAATAAGTCATGTGGCTTTGAAATATTCATAAAGACCTTTTTTAAAAAATAATAACTTTTTGGGTCTCAGTCCTGTACTCTCGTGAAGTTGTTTTGAAAATATGCCCAGAGATTATCAAATTACTTTTAAAATGACAGGACATGGCGTTAAGACCAGTGTCACTAACAACAAAATAAGACATGCCTGCATAGCTGGCCTATAAACAATGCAGCGAAAAGTCCAGGGAGATCGCACGCGTCTTATATTTTCTAAAAACATGCTCACTTAAAAAGTACATACGGGACCCAAAGTAGCTAATGCTTTGTGACCCAATTATTCTTGAAGTCTTAACTCGTGTTTTGTTAACTCTCGGTGGACAATTTTGGAGGTAACTGTCCCATATTTTCCTGACTAGCTGGGGACGATCGTTCCTCAGCTGCGACCCAGAAGGTTCGTGGCTGGTATGAAGAGAAACTGGCCTGCTGGTGCGGATTCTCGAGGTGGCTTGTAGCTGCGGTGGGGCTGTGGGGCTGTGGACGCTCCCACCGACTGTTGTTGATCATTTGTTTCTCTGTCCTTCTCAGCCATTGGCAGGACCCTCATCCCCCGTTACTTCAGCACCGTGTTCGAAGGTGGGGTGACCGACCTGTATTACATCCTCAAACACTCGAAGGAGTCCTACCACAACTCGTCCATCACCGTGGACTGTGACCAGTGCGCCATGGTCACCCAGCACGGGAAGCCCATGTTCACCAAGGTACGCGGGCACGGTAGCATGCTGGCCTTTTCTTCTCAGACTGAATTAAGGGGTCGTCGTGGCCATTTTCTCCTGGAGCTTTGGACTGATTTCTTGTCTCTCAGCCACTGTCGTGAATCTCTTGTTTGGGGCGCAGCTAGGCTCTCGGTGAGCATGGTGCCACCAGCCCCGAGACTGAGCAGCGGGGTGGGACGTGAGGGCACAGAGGCCCGGTGGCCCGTTACAGTTTAGCTGCTCGGTAGAACTTTCTGTTCTTGCGTGGAAGGTCCTCTGTCACTGCAAACATTCTCCTAGGTACTCCGGTGCTGTTCAGCTCTGTGCTAAAAGGAAATCATCCTTAAAGCTAAATCTGAATTTCAACAAACAGGAAAAAATCCACTAATTACATCCCAACTGGTCATAATCCTTAAGGAACATAAAGATATAAGTGAAGGTGATGAAGCTCAGAGTTTAAAGGTTGTTTTCCCATTGTTGCTACTTTGTGGTGGGTCAGTGCATACACCAGGCAGCTCGGCAGTGACACAGTGGAGCCGTAAGTTGGTTGTAAAAGAGCGAATGAGAAAAGCAGAAGAGAGAACAGCTGTTAGGATCAGACAACGCAATATTTAAGACTGAATTCAAGGCCTGGAAAGGATGTGAAACAAAAAAAATAATAGATGTAGTTCTGTTTTGTATGCACTTTACACTTGTGGTCCTTTCTGCGCTGAGCGTTGACGTGCAGAAAATGCTCTACAGGTGGACACCTTTCTGAACCCTGCAGATGCACATGGTCCTTTATGTCCTCTCCCAAGTCAAAACCAGTACGAAGTAGTATTTAGTCAGAGTCTGGCAAGGAGAATTTTATTTTATTAAGTACCAGCTCCTTGCATTATGGCTAAGACTCACTGAAACTAACTGGTGATGCTAATGATAGCAGCAGTCTCTTCTAGTCCAAACCCGAGTGACAGCGTCTGTAGTTAAGAGAAGCTCAATTATCATGGTTAATTCCAAAAGCCCAAATTACAAAACTGAACATAGGTTTGTTTTGCTGCAAGAATAAAAAGAAATGTTTCTTATTTGTCCATCGATCTTATTGGTGCAGTGTAAGCTGTGAAGCGCTCAGATGGATGTCCAAACACAATGACGAAGGAAGGGGTACCAAAAGCGACATCCTCTCCACGATATTTCGGTTTTGTCAGTAGACAGTTTAAATGTGGGAAGAGCG